CTCTCTCTCTCTCTCTCTCTCTCTCTCTCTCTCTCTCTCTCTCTCTCGTGTGTGTATCTCTTGTGCGGGGGTATTGCCTACCGGGCGGAGTAATTCGTGTTAGTGTCTACTGACTGCGTGTGTGTGTGAGAGAGTGCGTGCTTCGGCTGCTGCTTGTCACTCATTGTGCCGTGAACACGGGTAGCGACAAGGACCAAAAATCCGTCCGGTAGCAGTTGTCCTCTCCTGGAACGGCTCTCTTTACCTCCCCCCCTTCTTTCTTCAGTAGAGACACCTCGCTTGTTTTAAAAGTGCGTCTAATCTGCAAGGAGAATATCTGTGACACATTACAATGCTTCAAATACGGGACCTCATCTGGGGATTGCTATTCGCAGGATGTGCAGGTGAGAAGCTTGTGTTATTTATTATTCGCAGAACGTTATTCAAAGGCTGAAGCCAAAAGCCCAAATCTGTGCAACGCCAAGGCCGAGCTGCGCTGACTCCGGGAGCAGCATCCTCTGGTCCCGCCAGCGGATATCCTTGTCACTGACTCCGGACAGCGGCGTCAGGTTAGAGCTGCTGGTGCCTCTGCGCAAATCATCACGATCGTACCAAAAGTTTCTGTGAGGAGTGAGAGGATCGTCGCTCTTTTGAGCTGCAAACTGCGTGGAATACCAGAGCCAGATTCGGGGTATATTTTCGTATCAGGAGCCGCTTGCCTTCGGTGCATTTTTGAATATCTCCGCGCATTACAGAGGAGCGTGCCAGCTCGGGCTTACCATCCCGAGTTAAGGCACATCGTCGCTTTGCCTCATTTTGACCCACACGTGCTGCGTTGTTTTTTATTATTTGTATCCGCCTTAGACTCGAGTTCATTTGTTCGTGGATGCTGGCTGAGATCAGGACTTGGTGGTGATGCAGGGACGCTTCTGTGGTCCGTCCCCCCCCCCCCCCCTCGAGCCAGCAGACAGTACTTTACACTCTCTTTGGCTGTGTGCAAGCCACCGTTTTTCCGCTTCAAATGTCAAATAAGACCAAAACTAAACGGCTCACCCGAAAGTCCAGCTCTGCTGTTTCACTTCTGCTGGGTCAGCCGTGACGCACAGGGGATGCGGTGTCCGGAGCGTCGCTCGCTCTTCGCGGGGGATGCTTTGTTTCAGTCCGCTGGAAACCGCTTTAAGGGAAATTTGATCAAGACCGTAAAATCAAATTGTGTTTTCTCACAAGCACGCGCTTGAACTCTATTCCCAGGATGGATTAGATGCGGCCACCTTTCTGTCTCTGGCCATCACCGGATTTGGCACAAACAAACGTTATTCTGCGTTTATGTGTCAGTGTGGGATTTTAGTTTACCATCAGTCTGACCGTGTAGGTTAACAGCCTCTGACCTTCTTTATGTGACATAACTTCCGTTTATTTTGTTTTTTTTCTATCCAGCCAAATAACAACAGTTGAGTTTCCAACTTAATAGCGCAGTGCGTTTTTAGGCGCAAAATGACGTTGACAGCCCACAGGGCCTGGCTGATTTGATCGTGTTTTTTTGTTTTAATTTGGTTGGTTGGGAGGGAATTCGTCATCCATTGAGGACGACTGAATAGTCATTCAATGTATACAATAGAATCCAATCCCAGCGCTCCCATGGTTATATAGGGGGGCATTTCCCCCCCTCAACCCCCACCGCTCCCGCTTCTCACATCCTCCTTCCCTCCCTGCATCTGCCCCTCTTTCAGACTGCAACTGTGTGCTCCAAGTGGAGTTTGTGGACCCCCAGGGGTCCTTGGAGAGGGGAAGAATAGCTTTATTCTAATAATAATTATTTAATTCAATGTATTAGACATTGTGCAAATATACAGGGATGATTATAACCTCAGGTTTAGATTTCACCATTCTTCCCATATTCAGTAGATGATAGATGGTTGGATGATAGACCAAGGGCCCATTTGTTATTAAGGCATTGTGAACAATATGAAGCCTACTGAGCTTGACATTTTTAAGTTTAAAAATAAACATGTCAGTACCCTCTAGTGGACAAACTCTTCAACGTGTGGTATTTGTGAGCTAAAATTGAGCCAATATTGTTGGCTTGGTGAGGAGCTAATGTGTTATGTGCGGATGACACGTGTCAACTTGCAGATCTGTGACCTGACAATATTGTCAAACCTTTGCTATGCGCGCAGATATGCACCATGGGAGGCATACCCATTGGTTAAATACAGGTTTTTATTTAGTTTCACAGTTTTTGCAATATTTTCAAGGTATTTTCAAATCAACACTTTCTTGCCTTCCACCTTTCACACAAAAAACAGTGTCAACCTGTCACCATACCAAGTACACTTTTTTTTTTCTTTTTTTTTTTTCTATGATTCACGATGCTGCTGAAATATTCTGCCACCCCCGCAGTTCTCTGCACCTCATTCGGGAGGGAAAGTCAAAGGAACCAAAAGGGAGATAATTAGACAACCGAGCCTTAGCTCTGCTCTTTTGCGATAGAGGAAGAGATTCAAAGAAATTGATCACATTATTTGATAGGCCCGGGGTTTATTAAAAGGGTAATGACAGTATCACACTGTTAGAAGGCTGAGCAATTTAATTACATCTATTGATTTCCAGTTCCAGTTCAATGGAAATTAAATTTCGAGTCTTGACACAAACATTAAGATATGGAGAGCCACACCACCTTAAAAAAAAGTGATTGATTAATGGCCAGATTAAATAGAATATGATTTTAGAAGTGGAGACAGACTGTGGCCTTTCTTGTCGTGGTCTGTCTGCAGCCAGATGGATTGAGTCTGGTGTTTATTACCGCTTCTGACCTTGTGCTATCGGAGTGATCTACCATATCCAAAGTCATCATTCTGCAACCCGAAAGAGTGTAAGGTGATGGGGGGCTAATCGGAGAGACACAACTATTCGTCACACTGGTTCTAGAGTTAAAATGAGAGGGCCACCCTTGAGGGATGTGAAGTTATCAGTTGAAGAGGTGATACTTGGTGACTGCTGATGCCTGAATTGGATTTTGACCGTATGATTTTAGATTGTTTGTGATTTATTTAGTTGCTAGTCGTTGAGGGGTTGATTCAGATGTCGAGATGGAGGATAGCATTATTTTCATTGTGATGACTTTGCTGAGTTTTTAAAACCCTTCATCATGGTATTGTAAAGCAACGTTTCCTCATACGCATGATATATCTGAAGAAAAGTTATTTCTAAATTTGTGGTGTGTTCTCCTACGAATGTCCAGCAACACGGGCGATCAGTGCGCCTGAGCTAGCCTCTGCAGTGCAGAACCTGTTTGGGCTTGGTTAGGTTAAGGACAATATTGCAGTTTTGGTTAGAATACCTTTGTTTGTTGTGTAAAATAACTACGTTCGTGACGTAACTTGCGTATATGGTGTATTACAGTGCAGTGCTCCTCGTAGGTGTAAGAACGAGGGCTGCCCGATTAGTCGATAAATCGGTTGCTTTGGTCTTCATTGATTTAGATTTGTTCGTTTTTTTCATTAAGCATTTTTCATGCTGGATGACTTATTTCCAAGAAACTTATTGACACAGTTCTGCTAAACTCAAGATTTAACGTGGTGCTTTTGTGTGATTCTTTGTAGAGAAACTCAGTTTTATAGATCTGCCGTTTAAATCCACGAATCGTTTCATCGACAAAACCGTTCGAGTGTTAGATGACTTTCTTTGGTCCCTCGACCACAGTCGTGTTTCAGTGTCAGACAGACTTTCAGAGTCATGCGCCTATTACTCAAACTGGACTTCCTCAATTGTATTTTTTCATCAAGCTGTGCACCTGCCCTTCCCTTTATGAAACTCAAGATACTGAGTTCAAAAGCAAAGTACATCCGTGTGCTTTTGAATCTTAAGACAATGTGAACTGTGAAGGTTATTTAATGATCCTCTAGATCTACAGTAAAACTCTGTTTTTTTTTTTGTACATCAAGCATAGAGCTGAACTTCAAAAAAGAAAAGAAGTTTAACTTGAAATTTAGAGGGAGAAAAAAAAATACACAATTCCTAAATGGCTCACATATGGGACTTTAACTGCTGTGGTGAGTTCAAAGCCACTATGAAAATAATACAGGCTATTTTTGACTGAGGGGGAACTGGAAAAAGCGGCCAAACAAGGGAAAATTATAAGGCGTTTTTAGTCTGCGCTCAGAATAAAACTGGAACTTTGCTCTGTAGTGGCAACACATCTATGCTGCAGTCAAAGTGACGTACACATTTTGTACCAATTTATCGCAGCTTATGTTGTTTAAATTCCCATCAGTGCAGGCACTGCTCAGATTACAGCTGAACCCACTTTGGACTCTGCTCATATTCAGACATACACTGCATACTACTGAAAAGCTTTCATATGGGCAAAAAACAGCATCAACAAGTGATTTCTTATTGAGGGTTTAGTTGCATGTTCTACTGGGCATTCATTCCTCTTATTCCATATTCTTTTGCTTCCTATTCTACTCAGTCATTTTTTGTCTATTGTTTAATGGTATTTTATACATATTTTCAGTTATAATCCCAGATTTTTATTTATTTTAATACTTACAAATTATTATAACAAATATGAATAGAGGAACATAGAGCGTAATAAATACAGACCGGTCATAATATCATTCGTGGCTCTTTGCAGATCTGTGGAGAAAACTTCATATGAAAAGGTCAAAATGTGATCAAATGAGAATGAAACCCGAGGCAGTGGGTTTTGATGCATTGTCCATACATTCGCGTCATCTCACAGCGCTTCTTTACGCTGAATCCAAAAGTGCAGACAGCTCCAAACGAATGAGTTCAAAATGACGCGGCTGGCTTTTATGTCTTCTCTCCTGACTGTTAGATGAGGATGGGCTGTCTTTGCATATTAATCAGTGCATGAATAGAGACCAGTGATTTGTATTGTGCAAGCAATGAAGGCGTCCTATAGAGAAATGAATGTGGGGGAGAGAAAAAAAACAAAAACAGAAGGAGATGGGCTTGTTATGCAGAACTGAATCATATGAAGTAGCTACAGTCTGCTGTGTCTTTTACAAACTTATTTGATCATTAGTCAGTTACATGACCCGATCGAATGCAACCGGTGCTCATTGATGAATGTTATTTTTTCAGTTTTAGAAACTTCTAATGATCATCATGATCTAAACAAGTATGATTTCAGTGTTGAGTCATTGTGATTCAACATAAACTTAGAATTTGCAGATTACCTGCTGGTCAGTTCGTTGATATTCACCAAGAATTTGGAAATTGTAAAATTTACTGAAAGCTTGTCAGACTTTCCTTGTTCTGGTCGATTTCCCCTGGTTGAACTGAACTTAGCTCTAATGCTAAATAACTCCTAATATCTCTCTTCAAAGAGAAACTGTGCTTGATGTGAACATTGAGCACAGGTAAAACATCTCCGGGA